TTTTCATGTGATCATATTTTCTTTTGCAATGTAATGTTTAACAGCTGTATAGCATTTCATTTACTCACTCAATATTTATCGAGAAGCTACTATGCCCCAGGTTTTCTTCTTGGTACTAATCTAGAAAGAGTTTTTGCAGATGTACTTAGTTAAGATGAGGCCATACTGGCTTAAGGTAGGCCCTGAATCCAATATTTGTATCTGGTGTCTTTATAAAAAGAGGTAAGGGCATACAGAAACTCAGGGAGAACACTATAGGATGATGGAGGCAGAGAATGCCAACAAAGATTGCTAGCAACCACAGAAATTAGGAAGAGGTTTCAGACATACTGTCAGGAGGGACCAGTCACTGGAGAAGGATATCATGTTTGGTAAGATGGAGGGTCAGAGAAAAAGAGGAAGACCCCGAATGAGATGGATTGGCCAAGTGGCAGCATTGATGGACTCAAGTGTGGCAACAGTAGTGAGGTTGGCCCAGGATCGGGCAGTGTTTCGTTCTTCTGTGCATAAGGTCGCTATGGGTCGGTTCTGACTCGATGGCACCTAACAACAACAACGACAACATGGAACAGAGTCTGTGTCTTATTGTTGTTGTTGTTGAGTTGTGGTGCTGTGGAGTTGGTTCTGACTGATAGTGAACCTATGTACAACAGAACTTACCACTGCCTGGTCTGACACCATCCTTACAACTGTTACGTTTGAGCCCATTCTCCTTTAGTGCCTCCAAAAGAAATCCACTCTGCCAGTACCTTGATTTCACACTGCTAGCCTCTAGAACTGTGAGAGAAAGACATTTCCGTTGTTTTTAAGCCACCCAGTTAATGATAATTTCTTGTAGCAGCCACAGGAAACAAGTGTATACCACACTGAACAAAACAGACAAAGCTTCTGCTCTCAAGTTGCTGACATTCTAGTTAGGATCTTACTTACATTCTAATGAGACATAATTTATTTAACCAGTGCCTTTTTGTCAGCTATTTAGATGCTTCTGATTCTTCAGTACCATAAACAATGCTTCAGTAAACATCCCTGTAATTATTCTTTGAGCTCATCCACAATTTTCCCCCCTTAGGATTAATTCTTGGAAGTAGAACTGCTGGAAGACAGGGGATGTGAGTAAGCAAGGGTGCTGGAATTTCAACCTAGATCTGTCTGTCTGACTCTGGAGGGAGCTCAGGCTGTTAACAATTATGTTGTTAGCATCACTGCATCAGAGAAATTGTGGTAACTAGGGGCAGCCACGTGGTTCCTAGCTGGGTTAGGGATGTGGGCTGTTTGATGCTCTAATTACAAGATCTGGTTTTGGAAGTCAGAAAGAATAGATTACAATTCCAGGTCTGCAAATTACCACCTTGTGATTTGCGACAAGCTTCTTAACGATTTTTATGCCTTGGTTTTCTCATCTGTAAAGTGGCTTTGTTTCTCATCTCAAGGGTTGCTATTCATTCAGTAAATGCTTAATGAGAGTCTACTGTGCATTAATGAGAGCCTGCTGTGCATCAGGAGTCCTGGTGTGGCGCTGGGGGTTAATACTTTGGACTGCAAAGTTGGTTTGAACCACAGTATCGGCGGTTCAAGCTCTAGCGGCTCCTTGAAAACCTTATACAGGGTTGCTGTGGGTCAGAACTGACTTGAGAGCACTTACCACCACCACCAATTATGTATCAGTCTCTTAGGTAAGAGTTAAAAATCTAATTGCAGGGGTTGTGGAGAGAGAATTGTGGAGAGTTGCGTGGATTCTACTGTCAGCGTGGAATTGTACTCCATAAGGTTTTCAGTGGATTGGTTTCCAGGTCTTTCTTATGAGGTGCCTCTGGGGTACTGGTACCACCAACTTTCTGGTTAGCAGCTGTGTGCTTTAACCCTTAGCAATGGATTCTCAGGGAGGTATTAATAAATAATCACACAAGTAGAAAATGACAAAATTGTGTTACGTGATATGCAGAATGCTGTGAGAATGTGTAACAGGGAGATCTGACTTAGAGATGGGGCTTGGGTAGTTAAGGGAGGTGTGAGCCAAAATAAGACAGATGTAGAAGAGTTGATCAACTCAGGTGGGAAGGTAAAAGATCTCGGTGGCAGGAACGGGGAGCAAGCACAAAGGAGCTCAAAGATGGAATGCAATTGTTTGCCACTCTTTCCCACCTCACATTCCTCTCTCTTGAAGTGTCTTCTGGAAATCTCTCTTCTGATAGCTGAAATTGCAAGGATTTTTTTTTTCTCTCCTCATGTAGCCCATTGTTCAAATGTCATCTCCTGAGAGGGTTCTTCCATGGCCATCTTTCTCAAGTGAATTTCTCCCCTGCTTTGCTAATCACTTTTATTTGTTTTTTTTAAATTGTATTAATTTTGCTGTTATTGTTGCTGAGAATATAGACAGCGAAACTGGCACCAATTAGATCATTTCTATATGTACAATTCAGTGACATTACATTCAAGTTCTCACCCTCTTTTTCTGCATTATTCTTCAAATCATTAACATAAACTCACTAAATTTACCCTTAAATTACTGTATCACCTTTTGAGTAGCCATTCTTAGTGTGATCCCAAGTAACCAGACCAAACCTTACCTACCATCATCAAGTCTTTTCCAACTCCCAGTGGCCTAGGACAAAACAGAACTGCTCCTTAGGATTTCTGAGACTGTAAATCTTTACAGGAGCAGATAGCCTTACTGTTCTCCCTTGAAGGGTCTGATGACTTTGAACTGCTGACTCTGCAGTAGCAGTCTAATGCTTAACCCCCTGCACCACAATGAACTTTTTTTAACCTCGTTTTTATTGCATTTATTTATATTACTCTTTAAAAAAAACATTTAATGCATCATTCTAGAAAATTCTCCATTATCCATGGATATGTAAAATACATTCCTAAGCCACTCTTTTTTTTTTTGTAACAGTTCTACTAGAATGTACATTTTGCCCTATAGTTTGTTTGAATAGTTTCCAAAATGCCTTATTAGTTTTATTTATAGATATCATTTCAAAATAGATGCCAGTTTAAATATGAAGGTTTATAAGACATCACATATAGATAGGGCAACTGCAGTATTTTCAAATATACTGTTTGCCTTGGCTAATTGTTTCAGAAAGTCATGTAGAGTCATCTACCACTTTCTCTAGAACTTTTAGTGACATGTATGTAACGATTGTTTCACAATTTTTACTTGGATTTTTCTTTTTTTTAGCTTTTTATTGTGAATCGGGTGAAGTTTATTGTGAATTGGGTGAAGGTTTACAGACAATTTCATCAGCTTTATATTCAGCCAACCATACACCTTGTTTCATCGCAGGTATTACACTCCCCTCCCTGTAATGTGTACCCCACTTCCTCCCTATGGCTCCCCATTTACACCTATACTTCACAAATGAACAAGGCAAAAATATTTGATGTAAACATACAAAACAAAATAATATGTATTCATTTAAACGTCTACAGGGCACATTCTGTCAGGCAGTCTCCTGCCCATAGGCACACAGCCGTGGCCACCTCTGTTGTTGCTGCTTTTCTAGGTAGGCATCTCATGCTCCACTCATGCTCATCCTTCTGGATGGTCCCGGGATCATCTGTTTCTGAAATGAAAGATTACCTACTCCCTTCTTTTAGTTACACATCTTCTACAATTACAGTTGTGACAGTGGTGATCCTTCTAACAGATTTTCACCATTGAATCATTAAAATCCTATCACTATTCTCCCCTAACCCCTTTCAGCAGATTTGGGAAAGAGGGAAACTGTCATGTGGGGATTCTATGCTACCCTCCTCTAAGCACACTCATGCATACTTGTAAACCAGCCACTTTGTGCCTTTTTGTAGCCCATCCCCCCATTTTTGATAGCCAATGTCTAAATTTCTTGTCCGTATCAACCCAATATACTGAGGAAACAAGGTTGGTTGTAATATGAAGAATTCTTCCATTCTGGTTGGAATTTTGAGTTACTGCATTCATAGGCGATAACCCTAGCTCATCAAATTATAGCAATTTGCACTTGGTCTCAGTATCAAACACCTTTATCTTCTTTACTTTGAGTTCTGGTCAATTACCTATCCAAGCTTGGTCAAATGGATACTAGCTGCAAGTTTGGAAGTTCATGCACACATTCCTGCACTTAAGACCAACTGGCCGCTTCACTCTCAGCCCTAGCCCCCAGGGGCTAGGTCAGTGGACAGGGATCTTTTGACCCCATACAGATGAATTTTTAACAGTATAAGTTCAAGGCAAACACTCTTTACTAATGAAGCTAAATGATTATTTGGTTTTAAGATGACTTTAGGGAATATTTTTGGTTTAATGTTCACAGATCTCAGGGTAACTACAGATAGCTTCAGGGGTTCACCTAGTCTCTTTGGCTCCAGAAATTCCGTAATCCATAAGAATTTGATATTCAGATCTACATACATTACCTTCATTTTCTTCTTAAGGTTCACAACTGATTCAAATGGTCATACTTATCTGTTTAGTCATTGAATATCTCCCTGTACTTGAATGCATACTCCTAGAGGTGAAGGATATTTTGCAGATTTAAGCACTGAATTCCTAAGAACTGGCATACAGTAGTCGGTGTATGCATGTTTCTTGGATGAGGAAACAGGGCTTGGTGCAAAGTTGTTGTTAAATGTCATAGTTGTTTTCTACTCATAGCGATCCTGTATAGGGTTTTCCAGGAGCAGTTGGTGGGTTTGAACTGGAGACGTGGTTTGCAGTCCAGTGCTGATGCTACAGCATTACACCAGGAGTACTGGTGCAAAGTTAACGTGTGCCATATGCCTTTTTCACAGACTTCAACACAGAGAAGCCAGGAGGCGAGAAGCCAAGGTTTAGGCCTGGTCACTACTAGCCCGATGGTCACGTGGGACGCGGCGGGGGCGGGGCTAGGGCCGCCCACCCGGAACCCTGGAGTCTTGGCGCCGGCGGTTTCCGGCCGCAGCGGACACTTCCCGCGGAGGGACTGTCCCGTGGCACACGGTGGAGCGAAGAGAAACTCCAAGGGCTTTGAGCGATGGCGCTGGATAACCACGGCCTGGAGGAGTTCCGCCGGCGCTGGCAGGAGGAGCTGGCCCAGGCGCAGGCTCTAAGAAAACGGCGGCGACCCGAGGCTGCCGAGCGCCGGCCGCGGCGGCCTGAGTTGGTCCCTGGCCGCGGCGAGCAGGCCTCTGGGTACCTGGCGCTGGCCCAGGGTCTCCTGGAGGGCGCTGGGCGACCCCCGGCGGCGCGGGCCACACGGGCCGAGAGGCCGGACGCGACAAGTCGTTCTCGCTCCCCTCAGGCCCGTGAAGACACCGGGGGTGGGGACCAGCTGGTGGACCAGCTCATCCGCGACCTGGTGAGTGGCTGTCGCCTCCCGCCGAGGCCCGGGCTGGCCCTCATCCCCAGAAAATCCCCATTATGAGTTGGAAAATAACTCTCGGTGTGCCATCTATTAGGAGACAAAACGAATCGGTGTACACACACACGTTAGTGCAGGCAAAAGTGGTTCTCAATCTGGGCTGACTTGTAGGCATTTTTGGTGGTTACAACTGGTGGAGACTGGAGGGGGTGGGGCAGTGGAGGAGATGCTGTTGTGTATCCGTCAGTACTCAGTACACCCTCCCAGAACAACAACAAAAATTCTGGTCCCCCAAATGTCGGTAGATCAAACCTCGCGCTTGATGGATACCCAACCTTTTAAGACGGAGACCAAGAACACGGAAGGGAAGGAATGTTAACTTTTTTCTGCTTACTGTTTGTAGAATAAGCACTGGACTGCTAACCACAAGGTCAGCAGTTTAAACCCACCAGCCTCCCTGCGGGAGAAAAGATAGTCTATCTGCTCCTGGAAAGATTTACAGCCTCGGAAACCCCATACAGGGTGGCTGTCAGGCGGAATGGACTGATCGCCAATGGGTTTGGTTTTTGGAACTGCACATGTATTTAAAACATTAAAGCAGGAAAAAAAAGAAGTATCCTTTGAAACTGTCATTCAGATAAAGGTTCTTATTTTTTAGTGGGGAATGCATCCCTTGGAGCGTCCGGGGGAAACTTGGATCCCTCTTCCCTAAATATAACTGCATATATAAATTGGGAGGATAAAGATCACCTGAAACACATGCAGGGATCCCAATTTAAGTGTCCTGACAAGACAGCAGGTGTTGCTCTAGCTCAGTCATGCTCAAAGGAGGCTCCGCAGCTTTCCAGTTGGGTGTAATTCTGTAACTGGCAGGGTGTTTCAAGAAAGCCTGACTTCTCATTGTAGAATGAAAGGACTTCAAAAACTTCATGGACAAGTGGAATTGAAAGGTTATAGAATTTTTCATAAACTTTTTAAAGCCCTCTGGGTATGTCTTTCTATGAAAGTTAGGTAACATTACTACCTCCTGTTTGAGTGTTTGGAATCCTGATGTGGTGCTATAGATTAAAATAAAGCACTGGTCCGTCAACTATTGTTGAACCACAGGTCCTCAGAAATGTATACGGGATTGCCAGGAGTCGGAAATGACTCGAAGACACTTAACAACAGCATCATCATTTGTCAAATTCTGTGTTCTACCTTAACTCTCTCTCTCACAGTCATTTTGTGAAGTAGGTCCTGGTAGTTGCCCTGTTAGTTATCAAAGAGGTTTTCTGTAATTTGCACAGGTCACCTGTCAGATTAATTCTAGGGGATTAAATTTGAATCCAAATCTGTTGAACCCCAAATTGCATTGTGTACTTGTTTTCCAAATTTGTATTGGTGTAAGAATTACCTGCAGACCTTTGTTAAACTGTGACTGCAGGCCCCTCTGGAGACTTGCCTAGTTACTCTCCAGGGGAGGGGCCCAGAAATCTGATGATTGGGATGACCAGGCAAATTTGATAGATTGTATTTAGCTGAACAGCTTCCTCTGGTTTGGAGCCCTGATTATTCAGATTTAAGTGGTTTCACGCCTAACACTCATTTATAGGCATGGGTACCAAAAATAGTGGAGCACTAAATTAAGAAAGGTGTGCCACAAGATTGTATTCTTTCACCGTACTTATTCAACCTGTATGCTGAGCACATAATCCAAGGAGCTGGGTTCTTTGAAGAAAAATGTGTCATCAGGATTGCAGGAAGTCTCATTAACAACCTGTGATATGCAAATGATACAAGCTTGCTTGCTTAAAGTGAAGGGGACTTAAAACATTTACTGATGAAGATCAAAGAGCATGGCCTTCAGTATGGATATGTCTCAATGAAAAGAAAACAAAAATCCTCACCACTGGACCAATAAACAACATTCTTATCAACGGAGAAAAAAATTGAACTTGTCAAGGACTTCATTCTTCTTGGATCAACTATCAACATTTATGGAAAAAGCAGTCAAGAAATCAAATCAATTAGGCAAATGTGCTGCACAAGACCTTTTTAAAGTGTTGAAGAGCAAAGATGTCAGCTTGAGGACTAAGGTGTGCCTGACCCAACTGTGGTATTTTCAATAACCTCATATGCATGTGAACGCTGGACAGTGAATAAGGAAGATGTAGAAGAGTTGATGCTTTTGAGTTACGGTGTTGGAGGAGAATATTGAAAGTGCCATGCTCCTTGGAAGCCAGAAGTTTCTCATACTTCTGACATGTTGTCAGGAGGGACCAGTTGCTGGAGAAGGATATCATGTTTGGTGAGGTGGAGGGTCAGAGAAAAAGAGCAAGACCCCCAGCGGGATGGATTGGCCAAGTGGCAGCATCGATGGACTCAAGCGTGGCAGCAGTAGTGAGGTTGGCCCAGAATCGGGCAGTGTTTTGTTTTGCTGGGCATAAGGTCACTATGAGTTGGTACTGACTCAGTGGCACCTAACAACAACAACAAAAAGTAGATACGAATGGAAGGGACCTCCTTAGGCGGTCCAAAAGGCACTTCAGAATTAAAGATCTTAAGTAGTTAAGAAAAAACCTCCCTAGAATGCTGCTCTTGGTTTCACTTGCTTCCTCCACAGGAGCAGCTGGTGAGCTGGAACCACTGACTTGCAGTTCAAACGACTTTGCAGTCTGACGCACTAGCCCACAGCGCCACACCAGTAATCCAGTCTCCATATTAGGCACTACTAAGGAGACTCTGTGGCATCCTTGTGTGTTGCTGTGGTATAAGCACTGGACTGCTAACCACAAGGTCTGTAGTTCATATCCACCAGCCGCTCCTCAAGAGTCATAGAAAACATCACTATGAATCAGATAGGACTCAACAGCACTTAGCTGCAGCGACGACTAGATTGCATACTGTGAGCAGCATGTAGGCACCTCTGTCTTATTTTTAATACTTTGCAGTTATGGGTGACACTGCGTAAATTAATAATTTAAAATTTTTTCCTGAAAATATACATACCAAAACATTCATCCATGCAACTTTCAACATTTACAATTCAGTCACACTGATTATGTTTTTTTGTGTGTTTTGATTCCATTAATCTCTATCCTTTTCCAAAATATTCTGCCACTATCCACATAAACTCTGTGCTGCTCAAACAAACATGCCCCCTTCTCCCCTGCCTCCCACCTCTGGTAACCATTAATAATCTTTGGTGTCTCTGTATTTACTAATTTCATGTAAATGGAATCATACAGTGTTTGACCTTTTGTGACTGACTTATTTCACTCTGCATCATGTTTTCAAGATTCATTTATGTTGTGGCATGCATCAGAAATTGATTTCTCTTTATCTCTCTGTCTGATGCTATTAGTTAAATAACTGCCAGAGCCTGCTTATGTACTAGCACCAGGAAGAGTGATTTCATGACTTTAGCTCTGTTCTGCAGTTAGAGACAAATAAGGAGATTCACTTGTGTGGACATCCCTGGTCGGATTAATAGGAATTGACAAGGCAAACTCATACAAATGTGAACTCATGAATTAGCTAACCTGGAATTATGTCACTTTCTCTTTGCTTGACCTTTACTTTCTTTTAAGTCTCATCTTGAATTCCATCTCCTGTGCTAACTGCTCTGTGATCCCTCTTGCCCAACGTTTTCTACTCATTTTCTCTCTTTCCGTCATGTAATTGATAGAGCTGTTCCCCCTTACTCCCACAAAAGTATGTCCAATTGGCTAGGCCATTGTTTTCAGTATGTAGTTATCCTCCATTTTGTGATCTGATGTAATTATATTATGGGTTTTAAAACCTAACCTCCATGATGTTTATGATGCAGAATTAGAGACAGCTGTGTTAATGACACACGTTGTATCTTTAATATCTTTTGAGATATAATAGAGATTAAACAAGTAAGCAGAGACCAGAGTGACCTACAACCTCCACGAATGACAAGTTGGGAGCACAGCATATCCTTTAGTGGTGCCTTGAATTTACTTGATACAGCTTTTCTATCCAAAGTCATCTTAATTCCTACCACATGATTGGTTGGGACCATGCAAATAAGGTACACAGGACTCTTAAGACTGGGAATGGCTAGTTTTGCCCTCCACCTAGGTTTAAAAGGAGCTGTCTCAGACGCAGAGACTGAAGATCCCACGACCATCAAGAAAGAAGAGCATGAGTGGAGCATGAGACAGGAAGTGACAACGGCAAGAAACTGGCATGGAGAGACAGAGCAGCTGCAGGCTCTAGACCTATGGACTGAGTAAAGCTGACTGTACGGGCAGCGGACTGGCTTGAAGAATTTGTCCTTTGGACAGTCACAGACTGTCTTTGTAATATGTGCTCAAGCTGGGCGCAAGCCAAGGGACCACATGACTGAGAGGCTCGAAAACAAGAGTGAGGCCTGCCTGCAATGTGACAGATGAGGCATTCCTGATGAAAGAACTGCTGTGTCCTGAGTTGGTTTTGATCCTGAATTGTACCCTGTTCATTTCCCTATTGGTGGTGGTAGTGTGCCGTGGAGTCAGTTTTGACTCATAGCAATCCTGCATACAGTTTCTGAGGCTGCAAATCTTTATGGGAGCAGAAAGCCCCATCTTTTTCCTGCGGAACAGCTGGTACCTTTGAACTGCTACACCTTGAGGTTAGCATCCAGACTTGTTTATAACCACTGCACTACCAGAGCATCTTCACTTCCCTTATAAACCCCATAGTTGTGAGTATTGTAATGAGTTCTGTGTGGCCATTACAATGGATTATCAAACCCAGGTATGAAACAGAGAGTGCTGTGGGAGGGATGGTTGGTGTCAGAATAGGCTGAAGAAGGTTGTAGGATTGGAAGTATGTCTGACCTCCACTTCATAGGAATCGACCTTGTGCTGATTTTCACTTTGATTCTCTTTTCCACTTTTGAAGCCAAAAGAAGTTAGAGATGGTCCCCACATGGTTTTTGCACTTTAACGTAGGGTCCCTGTGCAGAGAACCTCCTAGACCCAGGGAAAGGTTGATACCAAGATAAT